TGGTTAAGGAGTTGGACTTGAAATCCAATGGGCATTGCCCGCGTAGGTTCGAACCCTGCTCGCTGCGAACACTTTGCAAAAACTCACAACAGAAGCTAACATACTCCGTTTGCCTAGGTAATACTAAAAGGAATAACTTACTTATATTAGTTTCTTACAAATGGGAGTTCTTTTACTCGTTTTAATAGCTTAAATGGTTTTGTAAACAAATATACAACAATTGTTTTTTTAATGAACATGGTTCATAACTAAATCAAGCAGCGATGTCCGAGTGGTTAAGGAGTTGGACTTGAAATCCAATGGGCATTGCCCGCGTAGGTTCGAACCCTGCTCGCTGCGTATATTTTGCAAACGTCTAGGTTTTATGAAACTGTTGTCGCTGATTACTCCAAAAAATTCTTGACTTTTAGTATTATGTCGGCCATATTACCAGATTATTGGACGCACTACCCAATTCTGTTCACAATAGACTGCCAGATCACCTCCGACACTATTTGGCAATCTAGTTGGCGGTCCTGCTTTCGTGCAGGCAATTTCAAATTCCGTAATTCCGCTCTACGCAAGGAATGAGCATCTTAGTTATCCACGCCCACAACTTTGACATGAAAGCGATTGGATGCTTAAAGTCTTTTCTATGTTCTCTTTAAGCTGTCACAAGCTGTATATCGTCAACTTTCAACAAATAATCTAGGTGTAGTAGTACTAATCTTGGAATCTACCAAATATACTCACGTTTGGCCCATAATGCATTACTGAACCCAAATCGTATGGCAGTCCCATATCTTCAATCTCTTGCGTCGTTCGTCGCTCGAAGTTTCCGTCTGTTCCTCGGATTATGTACTGCTTGCTAAGAAAAATTCACTTATTCAGCTTATATGCCCTTCTATATGATCAAAACTGAACTAACTTCAACGTGATGTATCGATCCCTATCCGGTCGTGACTGTTCGTGCCAAAATCCTAATGAATGACCAACTTCGTGACAGACAATCCCTATCTGGACGTTATAGCATAACAACAAGTAGAATACAGCAATTCAACACTACCACTCA